GCTCCAGGGCACTGAACAATGAAGCTGTAGACAGTGACCTGAGAAACCCATGTCTATTTAGATCAGTGTTTCTCAACCTCAGCACTATTGATATTTGCTGTGGGAGGTTGCCCTGTGCCTTGTAGAACATTTAGCTACATCTCTTTTTTCTGTTCCCAAATGCCATCAGCACCTCTCAGTTATGAGAACCAAAACTGCCTCAGATATTGTCATACAGTTTCTGGGGTAGGGCAGGGGATGGTCTCCCCACCCTTACTCCAGTTTATTCCCAAGCAGCACAGAGGTTGGCCCTGAATGAGTAGGCAACAAGATTCATGTTAGGTGAGGTCCTAAGGAATTGTGGGTTACTCAGTAGTTGAAAATGAAATTCCATTCCAGAACTCCAGAGATTATAGACAGCTTAAGAAAACTACAGAGAAAATCTAGGAAGAATCACAAGCTCCTAGCAGCAATTGCCTTTAGCAATGGACAAGGTGGGATAGGGTAGTTTCTGGAAAGAAGGATCCTAAATAGATTTTCATATGATTTCATGAATTACCTCTTAAAAGACATTAAATAGCATTTAGTGTTTAACACTGAAAAAAAATTGTATTGTCATTTGAGTGAATGTTTATAGAGCAATTAATTTTATATTCAACTATTCATATGCATTTAATTTTGTGACATTACTGTAATCATGCTGATTAAAAACAAAAATAATTACAATACCCACAGTGATACCACACTCTTCCTAATCCCTTTCTGTGATTCTTGTTTCCACTAATCCTTTATGCTTACTCTTACCTTCCGAGCTTTCTCTTTCCTTGGACAAGTGCTGTCACAAGAATGAATTTGGTTCCAGGTTTATATGGTGACTCAACTGTTCCACTATTCTTTATCAAACCTGGTAATCTGGGCCATTTTTATGCATTCCAATTTTGTTCTACGTTTTTCACTCATTCTGTTCAAGATCCTTTTCTATGATTCCTTTTAGTCAGCTGTATTCACCATCTAATTCCAGTGGTAGAAGTGGTCAGGGTGATTCCTTTGACCTTTGGACTAGCAGTTTCTCTGTGCCTTTGCTTTTCTTCTCTTCATTGTTCTGGACAAGAAGACCAAGAGTTGTATCTTAAATGGCCACTCAAGTTTTCTAAGACCTCAGTCACTACTCATCAAAAAAGTAGGATACTGAACATTTTCTTTGTGGATTATGTTGGCATTTGTGTTGTTGTTGTGTGCCATAGAGTAGAACAGGCACATAGCTGACCCTCTAGTGTTTTTCAGAAGCTGTAAATTGCACAGGAGATCGCCCATCCTTCTGGTGGATTCAAACCACATACCTTTGGGGTTGCAGCACAGCTTCATATCACTAGGCCACCAGAGCTTCTTTGTTGACATTTAGTATTTTAATTATGAGGGAATACTTTTGAAACAGGAGTGGCATCCACTTCCTAAATAACATGCCTCCAGAACCTCTATGAACTTTGATAAATGTAGATAGTTGTAGAGGGGCTTCAGATCTTTTGTTCATAGGGTCGCTATGAGTCGTGCTTGACTTGAAAGCAATCAACAACATATGGCATAAACAAAAGGGAGTTCTAGTGGCCTAGTAGCAAGAGGCTACACTACAGTACTGAAGGCACACTGTTCACCGTGGGAGAAGGATGGGCAATCTCCTCCGGTGTGATTAACTGCCTCTGAAAACCTGCTGGAGGGTCAGCTATGGGTCAGTTCAGACTCTATGGTACACAACAACAACAAGCAAAGGAAGTACTTAGAATGATTTTAAAATATGACTTTAACGGGGGAAAAAATCTTTTGGAAAAAAGATGAAAATTAGCAGTGTCTTCAGCTTGTGAAATTTGGGGCAATACAAAAAGGTGATCTAGGGCAAACCTCTGGATAGGAAACAAAGGGATGTGTGGCATATTCATCTCAATAATATACCACATAATAGTTTGTGATAATTTAAGAGATGCATTTAGGTTTTACATGGATATTTAAATTTTTTTTTCCTTATGAGTAAAACCTTTCTTTAGCAAGTTGCACTCATTTCCCATTTGTGGAAGTGATGTATTTTCCTTTAAAGGTATAACATATGTAAAAAGGTTTGGCAAAGAGTGACACTGAGGGTTCAAGTGCATGTTACCCACTAGGCTTCCCAGAAGTAATGTTTGTGTAGAAGGAGATGCAGCAACTGACACCAATGGAGGAGCTCTTGGCGGAGAAGGCGCAGCATATGCTGTTCATTATCAAGCCTCTCCATGTCTTGGGGCCTATGCGCTGTAAAGTAATGTTCCCTCTGCCTAGTATACTCATCCAAATTCTCCACATTCCTCCTCATTCAGCCTCACACCTACCTTCTCAAGTCACTTTAAAGTGGTCTCATCCTGTGACCTTCATCCCCTCCCGCTGTGTTGGTCTCCTGGTACTAAACATCTGCAATTGGCTTTGACAAAACCAGGTTTTGTTGTGTTTCCTCTAATAGACATTGCATTCCTGGAGGCCTGAAGCTTTGCCTTATCTGCTGTCATATCTACAGAGACCTGGAACACCCTGATAGTTTCAAGTATGCCTTGAATGAGGGTTCTAGGTTGGGATGTGATGTCTCCCTACTTTGGGTTTAGTTCCTCCCAAAATGCCAGCTTGCACTGGTAGCCACAGAGATAGAGATGCTAAGGCAGTTTGTGGTTCAGCGTCAAACACATTTATTTCACTTTTATTGAGTATACAAGAACAGAGAGCACACGCATACAGCACAGAGCACTGAGGTGGGGGAGCGCTGGGACGAGAGAGCAGGGAAGGCATGAGTAAAGGAACAGGACAGCATTGCAGTTGGTTGGTAAGGTGCTTTTTTGGGGAAAAAATACTCAGAGTGATGTTGCTCATGCAGTTTCAGGCCAGTCTTGGAATGTGCTTGCAGGATTCAAATACTGATACAGGTCCTGGCACTTCCTGTACCTTCCAATGGAAAATATCCCAAGAAAGCAAAAGAGGAAATAAGGACCTTGAGGAGAGCAGAGTAGAAAAGTTCCGGGAAAACATCTGGTCTGACCTGCTTATTTAGTAAGTGGGGAAATCGAACGCCGCCCAAAAAGGCAGGCACTGGTCTGATGTCATGTGATAAGTTAAGGGCCAAGCCAGGATGGCCACCCAGAATCCCTGACTGCTCCCAAGGGGCTTTATCCACTTAGCCTCCTGGGTGAAGAGGCAGCACAGAAAAAGATGAGAAGCATTTAATAAAAAAATTAATAAGAAAAAAAAGACATAAAGGAAAAGTAGGTTGAAGACAGACAAGACAAATGTCTATTCTCGCTGAAGAGGATGGGGAGGGACAGTGCCCTAGATTCAGCTCTGCTGCTCCCCTTCTCCCTGGTGGCACTAGCTGTCTATCCATGAGAAGGTCAGGGCACCCATGGCATGGTGGAGAGTCACAAACCCTGGTCACCTCACCCTCTGGGCTGGATTCACACCCTCAGGACCTATACGCAGGTACCTCTGTGGGAGGCAGGTCAGAGGCAAATCCCCACACAAAGCTCCTACTGCTAAAGTGTATCCAGAATGCTGACTGGAGTTATTGACTCCTACAAAGACAGGCCAGTCAAGAGAGGATGCAACCCCTCCAGGTTTCTCCCACCAGGATTGAAAAAGGAACCTGACATGTGGGGAGTTGGAGGCCACCGGCCTGGTCTCACATTGGGGGGATGCAGACAGAGGTCATCTAAGCCTGGCCCAGCACACTGCTCCCTCTTCCCAAGTGCTCTTGTGGGCCAGTACCAACTAATCAGTGAAGTATGTTGTTGGGATACCGGGTAAACAGGCTAAGGGGGCACGTCTATCTAGAGCTGCCCAGAGGGCATCTTTGGGCAAAGCCAGAATCCAGTGACCTGGAAAAACAGGGACATGCTTTCAGAGGGTCCAGCTATGGTTGGAGAGGCCGCCTGCTCGGGTTATCTGTTCAAGCACATCTCCTACACTCACATTTTCTATGGCCTTAGAAAAAAAGCTGGCACAAAGAGGTAATAAATGTGTTAAATAAATTTATTGACTGCTTTAGGAGCAGCATGGGGGAAGGTGAGATGAGACTGAAAAACGTGCAGTGGGGACAATTCCCATTGGAGAGGGATGTTGCTGAACGTAGGGAAACAGCTTTTGGCAGGCAAGCCTAGGAAAGCTGCATGTGTCCAAGGGCAAGTCTCAAGGTGACAAGGTCTTCTCCAGGGGCTTCTGTAGTCTCAAAGCAGTTCCTGGGACCCCAAGAATGCAGACTTAGAGCTCAGATGCTGATGGAAGGGGAGGTATCAAAACTAAGACCTTGTACTTAGATTGAGCCTTTAAGCAATACCATCTTTTCATCCTATCCTGAGGCTTCTGGAAATGCAGTTTAGACCTCCCAGGGCCCTACTTGTGTTCATAGCCTCTTCACTGTGATTATTCTGGTCCAGGAAGATGTCAATGGTTAAGAACATGGAAGGTTAGAGGAAGAGACAGAGCTGGGAATGTTTAAACAGCCAGTTTACAGCCAGCACTATCTGTGACCTCCCTTCAGACAGTGTCAGTTACCACCATGTGATCAGAGAAGGGCAAGACATGTGGCAAGAAAAAGAGGACTGAAAACCAATGTGAATCCCCTAAAGAGGTAGGGGAACTGAGCTGGGACACCTCTGCTGGGGGGATGCCAGCAGCAGCCTCTTAACCATGGACCCGGACCTCAGCACAGACCAGGCCCTTGGCTGTCATGCCCAGGGGTGAAGGCATCGTGGACTGGTCTGTTCTGCCCACATCCATGTTGCTTCCTTCTTGCTAGCTCCTTCCTCTCCATTTGGTGGCCCCACCCTTCCCCACCAATCAACCAATTACAAACACCACACACTGTATTACTACACTGAACCTGACAGCCCCTACCACGGGCCAGCCCGCACACACAGTCCTGGTCTCCCTAGCTGGGTCGGTTCAGTGAGATCTAGAACCTTGGGATACATCAATCACAGTCAGATAATTATAATTTTAAAATGTCAGCATCATACTTACCAGCACTGTTTATTTTCATGTTTGTTTTTCCTGTTATCTGTAATATACATAAATTAAAAAGCACATCCATACAAATCTCCTACAAGCTGCACCTTCATCATGAGAAACCATAAACATACAATGTCTACTTCCCTTCTGTGGCTGGCTTTTCTGTTCTTGCTTTCTTTCTTTTTCTCATTTCAAATGAGAGTCATCCGCAGTGGCTCTCAGCAGGACCAGGACACAGAGGGTGAGGGGCAGGGGCTCGGTGAATGGAAGGAAGGAGCTGAGACAGAAAATGACGACGAGACGCATGAGAGTCAAGGGTGAAGGAAGGCGGTAGAAAGGAAGGTGGATTTTTGCAGCCCAGTGTCAAGACCTGAAAAATAATAATCCAGTGTTCCTCCCCCTCCTCCTTTCTACATGGGGAATTTTCTTCCTTGGAAAACGTTTGACTGCGCGTGTCTTGCTGCTGCAATTTTTCTTGCTTGGCTGCCAAAGTGTTTTCCTTTGCATTCAAGTGGGCGACAGACGCTGGAGAAGAACAAATGGGATGCGTGTCCATTAAATGTAACGTGCAGAACCAGAGTCATGGTGTATCTCTACAATCACAACGGTCTGGCTTGCTTTTGTTGTTCGGCAGGGATAGGGGAGTAAGGGAGCCAGGGATTATTGTTGTCATACTTCCCATCCCCATCCCTTGAAAAAATCCCATCAATTCTTTGATTTGTCTGCAAAGGAAAATGTTAAGTGTTCTGATGTTGGTTGTTGCTGTTGCTGACTGGTCCGCCAGCCCCAGCAGCAGTGCAAGGACGCGGTGTTTCCTGTATATATATCTATAATCTATATATATCTATATATATATATATGCTTTTCCTTTCCCAGTCTCTCATCAGTGACAGTACGTCGCCGCTGGGACATCGGTGTTGAGTCGGAGAATCCAGAGTAAAGGCCCCTTCTTTACGATTCTCTGGCTTGGGTTGGACCAGGAATGCCAGCAGCTCTTCACAGAGGTCAGGATTCCTGGGAGCCAGAGGCATGAGGGAAGAACAGAAGGAAGGAGGATAAGAGAAGTTAGGAACTTTCTGTCATTCCTTTTGTTTAACTGTGGTAATATAGATACAGTAGAAAACTGACCACTTTAACTATGTAATTCAGTAAGTAACTCAAATCCTTTGCTCTTGATGCAGAACTAACTCATAGCCAACTCTCTAAAGCATTTTCAGAGCCTGTAACCACATAGGAGGAAATGGCTTATCTTTCCCTTTTGGAGCAGCTGGTGGATTCAAACTGCCATAAGGGAATCATCTTTGGGTTAGCAGTAAAACCCTCTACAGACTACGCCACCAGGGTTCCTATTGTAACTACGTGTTGTTGCTATGTGTCATCAGGCTGACCCTCAACTCATCGCTGACCCTCCAAAAGCCTTTCAAAGGCTGCAGATCACATGGGAGAAGAATGCCCATCTTTCTCCACAGAGCAACTAGTATATTTGAACAACCTGCCTTTTGGGTTGCAGCACTTACCACTAGGCCACCAACAGAATTCAGTATATCCACAGTGCTGTGTAATCAACACCACACCTCGTTTCCAAAATTTTACATCACTCACAATAGCAATGCTGTATTCATTAAGCACTGACTCCTCTTTACTCTGTTCCTCAAGCCGATGCAACCTCTAATCTGCTTTCTGACTCCATTTGCCTTTCCTCACATTTCATCTAATATTTATCCTTTTTGTGTCTGCTTATTTCCACTCAGTGTAATGGTTTCAGGGATCATTCACATGGCAATCCGTATCAGTATGTCACTTCTTTTTGTGGCTATGCCACATTTTGTTCAGTTGCACATGTACATTTGGGTGGTTTGCATCGTTTGGCAACTGTATATAGTGCTGCAATGAACACTATTGTCCAAGTTGCCAATCATTTTAAAATACTTGGCCAGTGGTTTTTCCTACCACTCTGAGTACCAGGCACATGGCTCAGAAAGGTAAAGTGACTTGTCCAAAGTCATTTGGACCCATCCAGCTTGTAACTGGCAGCTGAGATCTGCTCTCACATTCCTCGCATACCCAAGCTGATGTGTATTTCTTTCCAGGGAATTCACAGCTTTTGTTTTGCCACTGAAAATGTATTAAAGTTGCTTTTGATGTTGAGTAGCTAAGATCACAATCCTCTGGTTTTTTCTTCCTGACTTTTTTTCTCTTCTAAGAATGTTTAGTCATAACTGCAGAGGTTCTTTTACTTTTTCCTCCCCATGGGCTTTTTAAGTACACAGCCTGCTGTGTCTGGGGGATTAAACTACAGAGAGAAGTGTTCAAATAAAGGAACTGGAGTCTAGATTCTAACTCAGGTTTGTTTAACTCCAAAAGTTAAGAACATGCACTCTGAAAGTACACTGCCTGAGCTCAACTCCTGTTCCCCCCCAGCTTAATGGTAACCAAGTTTCTTGCACTTTGTAAGACTATTTCTTCCTCTATAAAATGAATTATGCCATATGAAATTATAGGGAAATTTCAAAGCAAGGGTCCAAGATATACTAAGTGCTGAGTAATTGTTGGCTATGATTATTATTACTATTGTTGTTATTTGCTTAATCACCATTCCAAGCTTTCTTAGGGTCACACTCATTTTTTACTTATTTTTGTCTCTCTAGGGCTCAATACTGTCGCTGGCATATACTACTACAAAGAAAACATGTAATGTATAGACACAGCATCTTGTCCTTTGCAATCTACATAGTCAAGTATAACGGAGTATAGAAACAAACTCTTCTTGGTTCATTTGACAGAGATGAAAACTGAGATCCAGAAGGTTTCAGTGACTTAGCAAGTTGGTAGCAGAACGAAGACTAGAATCCAGAACTCCCACTTTGGAGCAGCTTTTATTCGCTTGTTAAATTTTCTAAGGTAAGGAAACCGGGCTAAGTCCTACTCTCTTGGTGGCAGCTTTTGACACAGCACCATCTGGAGGAATGAGCCAGCGGAAGCAGATACCACATGTCTGTCCTGTGATGTTTCAGTGAAAGACACAGTTTTCTGTGCAACAGACATGTTCTCCACAACCACGGCAAGAACTTCAATGAGGCAGAATTTCAAAAAGGAAGGTTAACAGTCAATTGGAGCAGGAACAGATGTTCTTGGAGGATTCAACAAGGAAAGAGAACATGAAGAGTGGAAGATGGGTCCCTATGTGGAATTAGGGCCTGTGCCCTATGCTGGTGGGATAAGTCTGTGGTCTGACTTCCTTGAGGCTTTCATTACTTCTGAACTACTACAAAACTTCAGAGGGACAAGGAAGCTGGTTCACACTTACTGAGCATCATCTGAATATGAGCCATCACCCCACAGTGTCCCAGACATCCACCTGTTTATTTAATATTACTGTGATTATCATTGCCATTTGGCGGATGAAGAAACAGGCTAACAGGATTAAATGAGCAGGTCTCAGTCATACAAATTAATAAAAGGTTAGGCTGAGATTTGCCTTTACATGTGGAGGACTGTTCCTTGGGTTGGAAAAAAAAGTCAATATTTCTCAAGCACTTTAAAAAGGATTTTTAAAAATTATGTTCTCATACATGTTACAACATAAATAAACCAGAAAAACATTATGCTGAGTCAAATAAGCCAGTCACATACATATTGGATCAGTCTATTTATATGAATTGTCTGGAATAGGGAAATTGACAAAGACAGAAAGAAGGCAGCTTAGTGTGTGCCAGGAGCAGGAGAGAGAAGAGGATGAGGAATTATTGCTTAATGCTTATTACTCCTTTGTTTGGGGTAACAAAGAAGCTTTAGAGATAGACAGTAGTGATGAAAAGATCATGTACAAATGTAATTCATGCTACTAAAATGTATATTTTTAAATGGAAAATTTCCTATGTAGTATTTTATCACAAAAGTATTTTTTAATCCACAACTCATTACCACACTAAAAATCTGTTTAAAAAGAGTAGCTTTCTAATTCAGAAGAGACCTTCTCCCCTCTCTGTGAAGTCTGACTATGCAAATGATTAGAGGCAATAACTAATAACCAATGATAAGGTGAATAGGCAGCAAAGGGAAGGGAGAACCTTCTGTCTCCCTACCACAACATAAACAAGGTGACCTGTACAGAAGATCCAAGAGAGAGATATGGTGTGTGGTGATGCGTGGGGCAACAGCTTCAGAGAAAGAAGAAAAGAGTGAGGAGGAGGAAATGAGACAGCGAAGTGAGCCATGAAGTGGGCAGACGTGAAAGACTGCATGATGATGGGGCGGGCAGGATGTGGAGGCTGAGATGAGAGCACTGAATGGCCAGGGAAACTGGGAAGGGGAACCCTGGGAGACTAGCTGTAAATACCATGGGAAAGATGAGGAGGAGTGAGTAAGGGAATGGAGAAGATCCTTCTTCTGAACACAAGAGACTCTCCAGAGAAGCTTATCAGCAGCCAAGGAACTGGAAAGGGGCTTGTACATCTCTTCATTATTCAAAGGAAGAAACCAAGTTACTACAGAGAAGAGGCAGACCTATGATCGAACTGGCTAAATGGGATGGCTGAGATTAAAGCCAGCTCTGCTAGATTCTCAGTCCAGAGTTCTTTGTATTAGTGATTCATACATTAAATAGTATATAGATCCTCTTAAGTACTGAGGTATTAATAAAAATTCTCATATGATACAGATTCACAGGTCCTGGCCCAGACCTACTAAATCAGACTTCATGAAGATAGTTCTCCAGTATTTGCATTTTGAACAGGTTTCCCCTTGGGTGATGCAGCAAGTCCAGCGCCAGCATGCCAAGGTCCCTATACTCTACCATGCTGAGCTATAGGGGAGTACAGGGATACTCTACCATGCTGAGATACAGGGGAGAAAAAGCAAACTGGACAACTGAGTGGACAAGAGTGAAAAGTACTTGAATGAAGTCTGAAGAAGGAAAAGAAGCTTCACCTGTGTCACATGGGATTTCTCCTTGACTAGTACTGTCCAAGAGATACAGAATGTGAGCAATGGAAACCTCATTTACTGGGTAAATTTTTACCAGAAAAACAAGAAGATATTATTTCAAAAACAAAGAGAACATAAACTACATAAAGTATTTGAAATTTCTAATAACCACATTTAAAAATGAAGCAGGTGAAACGAATTTTAATGTTATATTTTGTTAACAAGGATGAATCTGTTTGTTTTCTAGCAGTCCATGGTACACTCAATACTCTTCTCCAGCACCACAGCTCAAAGGCATCAATTCTTCTATCCTCCCTAGTCACTGTCCAATTCTCTGATGCATAACAAGTGATTGCAAAGCCCATGGCTTGTATCAGACGCATCTTAGTCCTCAGAAAGACACCATTGCTCTTCAGTACTTTGAAGAGGTCCCTAACAGCAGACTTTCCCATTGCAATAGGTCTTTTAATTTCCAGGCTACTGGTGCCAAGAGTGTTGACTGTGGAACCAAGCAAACTAAAGCTATGAACAATCTCAATCTCTTCATCCATCCTGATGCTGCCAGTTGGTCCAGTGGTGAGAATCTTTGTCTTCTTGACATTGAGCCTCAATCCATATTGAAGGCTGCAGTCTTTGACCCTTTGCAGCAAGAGCTTCAGGTCCTCCTCAGTTTCAGCAAGCAGGGTTGTGTCATCTGCATAACACAGATTGTTGATAGATCTTCCAACAATCCTGATCCCACATTTCTCTTCATAGAGCCCAGCCTCCCAGATAATCTGTTCTACATATAAGTTGAAAAGGTATTGAGACAGGACACATCCCTGGCGAGGGTTAAACTTGGTGCTACTTGGAGGCAAGGATTCTGAGGCTTCGTCTAACACACTTTGGACATGTTATAAGAAGGGACTGGTCCTTGGAGAGGAACATCATGCTCGGTAGGGTGGAGGGACAGTGCAGAAGGGCAGTCCCTCTATGAGGTGGATTGAGTCAGTGACTGGGGTAATCGGGATGGGTGTATCAGAGAGAGAGTGATGGGCACAGGACAGAGTAGAGTTTAGGGCTGTTGTACATAGGGTCACTATGAGTTGCAAGCGACTCAATGGCACATAACAACAACAACATTTTTTTAACCCAATATATCCAAAACATACTTACTTTACTTTGTAATCAATATAAAGATTATTAGCAAGATTATTTTACAGTCCTATTTTTTCCTTCACAATCCTACATGTATTTTACCCTTAAAGTACACCTCAATTCAAATCAGCCAGATGTTAAGTGCTCTGTAGTCACGTGTGGCAAATGGCTGCTATATTGGATAGGACAGAAAACATTACCATCATAACAGAAAGTTCTAATAGACAGCACTAGGGTAGATCACAGTTTAGCAGTGTTTCAAAGTGCCAGGAAAAAAGTTTCAATTCTTTCTTTTCTGACATTAAATTAAGGGTGGTAATCAAAGAAACAGATCTTGGCAGAAAGCAGAGAGTACCAGAAGAATGTCTATCTGTGTTTCATTGACTATGTAAAGGCATTTGACTATGTGGATTGTGGCCAACCTTGAGGAAAATGGACATCTCAGAGCACTTGATTGTACTCATGCAAAACCTTTATTTGGACCGAGAAGCAGTTCTCAGAGCAAAGCAAGGAAACACTGCACAGTTCATAATCAGGAAAGGATTGCGTCAGGGATGCATCCTGTCCCCATACCTTTTCAATCTGTATGCAGAACAGATCATTCAGGTAGCAGGGCTTTATGAGGAGGTGTGGGGCATCAGGATTGGAGGAAGACTCATTAACAATCTTGCTTGCTGAAACTGAGGTAGACCTGAAGCACTTGCTGCAAAAGGTCAAGGACTGTAGTCTTCAACATGGATTGAAGCTCAACACCAAGAGTACAAAGAGTCTCATAACTGGGCCAATTGGTAGTACCAAAGAGATTGAAGTGTTAACAATTACAGCTTGCTCAGCTCCACAATCAACACACGATCAACACGAGCAGTCAGGAAATCAAAAGACGAACTGCACTGGGAAAATCTGCTGTCATGGACGAGCAATGTCAGTCTGGATACAAAGGTTCACCTAATGCAGGCCATGGTCTTCTCAATTACAAGTATATGCTTCAGAGAGTTGGACAATGACTAAGGATGACAGAAGAATAGATTCCTTTGAGTTGCGCTGGAGAAGAGTCTTGAACATACCATGGACTGCCAAGAAAACAAACAGGTCTGTCTTGGAGAGGATGAAGCCAAGTCTCTCCTTGGAGGCTAGGATTTTGAAGTTCCGCCTCACTTTGGGCACATGGCCAGGATAGACTGGTCCTTGAAAAAGGACATCATGCTTGGAAGGGCGGACGGACAGCGCAGGAAAGGGAGACCCAGGATGAGACGGATTGATACAGTAACTGGGGCAATGGGGGTTGTGTGTCAGAGCTAGTGAGACTGGCTCAGGACAGGGAAGCATTCAGAGCTGTACATAGGGTCGCTATACATCACAGGTGACTCAACGGCACATTAAAAACAATAACATACTATGACAGGTTTGGAAACAGGAGTGGCATTCACTTCCTAAATAACATGCCTCCGGAAACCCTATGAACTTTGATAAATGTCAACAGTTGTAGAGGGGCTTCAAGCCTTTTGTTCATAGGTTTGCTATGAGTTATGCTCAACTCGAAGGCAATCAACAACAACAAATCAAAGAAATAAATATTCTTGTATCTTTTTCAAAAGTCTTAGTTGCCATTTAGGGAAGAGAACAAAGTGGAGAACTGCTATTTGTGGAGTCTATGAGGATGGATCTCTGCTCGTGTAGTCCATAGGGAGTTGCTAACATAAGCACTGCATCTTTCTGGAAGTTTGGTACTAGGGGCTCCTCAGGAGAAAGACGGGCAATCTCTTTTGTTACAGCCTCAGTAACACAACGGAGGGTCAGCTATGAGTCAGTTTTGACTTGATGACAATGACTTTTGAGATTAAAAGGATTTTGTTTTTTCATTTTGGAATAATGTGAAATGTGTACAGCTCAATGAATTTTCACACAGGTGGACACTACACATAACCACCACCAGATCAAGATATTTCTAGCTTTTGTAATGGTTTTCTTGAGTCTCTTTTTAAAAAAAAAAAAAATTATTATTATTATTTTTTTTTTGCCAGGGGAGAACTGACAGTTTTATTTATGACGACAACATACAAGCAACCACACTCATGTACATGGGCGAGATAAGGACCGGGCCCAGGCCTTGTGCATGTCCTTGGGATTCTGAGGGGCAAACTTCTCCTGCAGTTTCTTCCACATGCCTTTATTCATTTCCTTAAATTCTTCTAAGGCCTCCGTGGACAGAATGAGCTTGTACTCTTCCAAGGACAGGCCGCTGAAGCTTGTTTCTCTGGGGCGTGGGTACTTGTGTTTGTAATAGTTTGAATGGAGTCGTGCTAAGCTCTTGTACATCTGATCACAGGTCTCAGGCTCTGCAATTCAGTGTGGCGGAGTGGATCCTGGGCTCCTAGAGTTTTTGAAAGTTTCCTCAGTGATTGCAAACTGCAGGCAGGTGCGAGCGCTGAGTGAAGGGCAAAAATTATTATTTTTAATTACTCTGATTTATTTACAAAGTTGAATACATTGTTTTTCACAAAAGATCCTTCCCATTTCCTTCACTCCACCCACCCACTGAATTGTGCAACTCTATGATTAATACCCTACACCTCTCCATCCTCACCCCTCTATTTCCACCCTACCCTTGGATCCTCATATTCATTCTACAATAATAGTTTTATACAATATTTGTCCTTGTAGGACTGAGTTAGTTTACACAGCATAATGCTCTCCAATCCCTCCCAAGTTAGATAGTAGTTACAAAATGATTGCTCCTGTGTGCTGTGTAGTATTCCCTTGTATGAATTTACCACAACTTCTTAATCCATTTGTTTGTGGTTGGACATCTGGGATGCTTCCATGTTCTTGCAATGGTGAATAATGTTGCTATGAACTTTGGTGTACAAGTTTTCATTAGAGCCTCACTTCTCATTTTCTTGGGGTATATTCCAAGCAATGGAATAGCTGGGTCATATGGAATTTCTATGTTCAGCTTTCTGAGGAAGCAACAAACTGCCTTCCAGAGTGGTTGTATCATTGTAAAATCCCACCAACAATGTAAAAGAATTCCTATATCACCACATCCTCTCCAACATTTATAACCTGCATGGCTACTGGAGCAAAATGGTATCTTATTGTGGTTTTAATTTGCATCTCTGTTATTGCCAATGATTTGGAGCATTTCTTCATATGTCTGTTGGCCATCTGAATATCTTCCTCTGTGAAAATTCTTTCCATGTCTTTTGTTGAGCCTCCTTCTTATCAATAATAGATCCCAGAAGGAACCACTATTCTTTTATCATTATTGATTATTTTCTTACATTTGAACTTCATATAAATGGAACCATACGGTATATTCTTTTGTATTCAGTGCATTTACTTTGTGTATTCAACACAATGTCTGTGGGGTGGTTTGTTGTTTTTTTAAAAGGTCTGATAATATTGAACATGTTACAGAGGGGTCACAAGATTTACACTGTAAATCCCTATATGCTGCCACATCATCTCATCTTTCTTGTTTATCATGGCTTCCTTGGCCCACAAAGAAACAAAAAATTACAAATCCTCTAAGATTCTGGCACGAGGAGACTAGAAGGTCAAAGGTGTGTAATCTAGCAATAGAGATGGAACTAAGAACTCTGGCCACCATAAGGCCTTAGTAACATCCAGTGACCTGTGATGGAAACAAAGACTCAGGGGCAAGTCTACGTCGCACTGCTCCTGGTAGGAGTTCTCCTGACTTACAGCTTTATAAAGAGGTCAAACTTGCTCTCTCAGTCCCATTTCATTACTCACTGTCAGCCTTCTCTTTTAACCATTCCTCGACTTACGTTTTGGGGTTTGGGCTCAAGATTTCCAAAGAAGCTAAGGAACTATTCTTCTTTCCACTCCCTACTCTTAATTGTCTTGTCTGAGGGAACTACCTTGCTGCTTTGAGCCACAAGCTGAGACGTGCGAGTTGTTGTATCCCATCAAGTCAGAAGTGGCCCATAGCTGACCTTCCAGTGGGTTTTCAGAGGCAGTAAATTGCACAGGAGGAGATGCATTAACCTTGAGATAGGGACTAAGCCACTTGCCAGATTCTAAGATGGAAATGACTTTCAGAGGATTTTTCCTTTCTTCCCTCCTCCTTGTTGTGATGGCTGATCCCCTCATAAGCCTTACCTGTGGCTTCTTGTCCCTCTCCTCTGGGGAGGGGTCTGTTTCTCTGTATACGACAGCTTTGGTTACCAGCATGTCAGGATGCTGCAGTTTGGCCTCCTTGATGGCTAAAGCCAGAGCCTAGTAGAAAATAATAGCAAAGTAAGAAACCATGAAATATCAGATGTGGAAGAGGCCCTGGGGACCAACTAACCCAAACCCGTTAGTGCACAGCTGGAGAAACCGAGGCTCCGAGTGTGGGGAGTGGGGGATAGTGGTCAAATAGAGACAAGGAGCTCCCCAGGAAGGGACATCAAATAGAGGACAGGGCCAGCAGGAAATGGGCACTATCTTTGCCCTAAAAGTAGCCATTCATCTGTGAGTAGCCCAAATGTGAAAGACTGGGGACCAAGTAGTGCTACTGCCCTAGAACAGCCCCTACTCCTGTACCTGGTCTTGATCAACATCTTCATCCCCAGTAATGATGATTCGCTTCTCAATCCTTGTCTCAGAAAACCCTCCTTTCACAGTCTGCAGAGGGAAAAAAGGCAGAGTCACCCCTGGGTCATGCTGAAACAGCAGCCATGACAGGGAATCTAGCCAGTGTCTCTCAAGGGCACGCCTGGAAACCAGCAGTGACCTTCTCTCCTGGCTTCCTCAGTTTTTCTTTTTCTGGTTTTGGGGCTTCAGAGAGCAGAGCCTGCTGGGTTGCCATCATGCTTCCAACTGTCAAGTTATTCCATCTAGGTCTTCTAAACCCAGCTTCAATGATGGCTCCCTAATCCTAGCTGACAGTGATTCTACCTTCCTGCCAAGGGGCCCCCTGAACACCAGGCCTCTCATGGGTCTGGGCCTCCCTGACTTGTACTCATCATAGTTATGTATATGGCCTTGCTCACCTCATGAGAGCTGGGCTTGTGTTTTGTTCATCTCTAGATGCACCCTTCCTCTATCCCCCTGTCCACTCTGACCACGGCAGGTGCTGAATGCAGAGTTGAATGAACACATGAATGAAATGTGAATGGTGACAAGGTTCTGCCTAAAATGACTCTAAATAGTCTTCCAAGAGAAAATTTGGTTGCTGACACTTACAACCTCTGCTGTCTTCTGAAGTGGTTGGGTTTTGGGGAAAGTTTAGAAGAAGATGGGATAGAACTATAATTACAGGAGTGTGGCTGGAGGAGATTCAAGATGGAGTAATTTCTGGGAGGAGGGGCACTGTTGAAAAGACAGAAAGAAAAGGGAGCCCATACTTGGCAGGGAAAAGAGGGACTTTGTGCAGAAGAGTTAACTGAGCTGTGTGCTGCAGTAGGTGTGATGTAAAACCTTCCCACAGAGCCTTCAGTGAGGTTGACGTTGCTTATGAAAGCTTAAGGAGGAGTTCTTTGTGGAATGTAAGGAAGTACAGAGTTCTGCATACAGCAGGCAACGGCTGGGGCAGGAGTGTACATCAGGTGCCAGTGCTGCCTACTGCTGTTGTGTTCCATCAAGTCAAACTGACCCACAGCTGACCCTCCAGTGGGTTTTCAGAGGCAGAATCATACCTGACTTGATGGCACCTAACAACAACAACAAATCACATGGGAGGAGATTGCCCATCTTTCTCCCATGGAGCATCTGGTGGATTTGAATCACCTGCCTTTGGATTGCAGCGCGATCCTTTGCCACTAAGCCACCGGAGCTCCCCAGATTTCTCCGTTTGGGCTGGTTTAGCAGAATCCTCAGCTTAGCCTGGCTTGCTGGCCTCTTTCCTCCAACTCTCCATCCCTCACCTGGGATTCCTCTTGTCCACAGTGGTGGGTGCATTAGCCAGCTGCCTCTCAACCTTCTGACTTCTCTTTCTCCCATCTTCTGTACCACCCAGTGGACTCCATTTAGCTCCTTATATCTGTTTTTACTGAGACTCTCCCCAATTAAAACACCTTGACTGACAACTTTCCAATTTCACTGCCTCAGAGCTTCCTTAATGAGATGTGTTCTGGTGTTTGTATTATTTGTCTGTATAGTCCTGCTTCCCCTGGCTCCAATCCAAGCTCACTGCCCACAGTTACTCTCTCCACATGCTTCTTCCTGATAGATTCTGCTCCTCCTGTCTCCTACAAGCTTGCCTTGCTTAGGGCCACCTCCAGCAGCTCCCAGCAGGCTGACACTAACATTTGCTCAGTGAATGAACAAATACACTCGATTTCTATTCTCATCTTCTGTTTTGCTTAGAATGCCTGTTTCTGTTTCTCCTCCCTCCCAAGACCCACCTGGCTTCCCAAGCCCCTGCTTTTTCTAAGAGACTCTTCCTGCCTTTTTCTAAAGTTTCCACACTCTTTCCACCTTGCCCCTCTTTACATTCTTCTAGCACTGAAGTTCTGTAATGCACAAGGCCATGGTTCACAGTTATTGCAACACTCATATTCTCATTGTCCGTCCACCCAACTGTAAAGGCTGTAAGGCTGGGGTCCATGCCAAGGATAGTAAGTAGCACAGAACAGAGTGCACCACACTTGGGAAATTGGTAACACCATGAGTGTTCCTTGTTCACTTTATAGATTATGAAGCCCAAAAAAGGCACAGCAATGGCACACTTCCCAAACCCTCTGGCAAGGCTGGGAGTGTGTGGCATCCTTGCTGCTACTCACTTTGGTAACATGGGTGGTGGTGGAGGTTGAGAGGGTTTCCGCGGTGGCGCCGTAGGTGCTGGTGAGGACATCTTTCCCGATGATCTGCAGAATATAACCACCCCCCACCCCGGGCGTCAGGTAAGGACACTGACCTCCAAAGGGTGGGGCTGGGTGGGGTGAGCCGAGGGAAGAGGATGGGCCCCATGAAGGTAAAATCTGGATGCCAAGATGCTTGGAATTACTGAATCTATGAATTCAGGAACATTGGAATCTTCAAAATCCTGGACCCACCCACAAAATTCTACAACCGTAGCATCTGAGATGCCTGGCACCTGTGCTGTAGGCTCAGAATCCTAAAAGCATTCAAGAATTCAATAATCCTAGAACTTTAGAAGAACAAAGGAGTTCAAAGTGGAAAGAAATTTCTGATCCCTTATCCTGCTGAAGCCAAGGACGCGCTCTCTCCGGGGCTAGATGATGAGAAGGGCAGGCTTGTGGAATTGTAAGAGCCAAAAGAGACAGCACAGTGACATTCTCAGGGTCCCGGGGTGGCTACCAACACAGCAAGGGTCACAAGCCATGCCTCTGGACTCCTAGTCTAGTGCTCTTCCTGAACAATGAGGTGAGGGCAGTAAGGAAAGCAGATGAGAAAGGTGTCGCAGAGACACAGTGAAGGGACGTTTTACCCTCACACAGTCAATGTCTAGCTTAAGTCTGTGTGTGAAAGAGACAGTAATCTAAAGAGTGAGACAGAAAGGGGTATTGTGGGGGATAGCTGGCAAGACAAGATGCTGGTGTGCACCAGGGAGACCAGTGGGCATCTGAGGATGATCCAGCTAACTGGCACCACACTAAAAGAGGCAGCCTTCGGGGCTCAGAGTTACAAAGGCAGCAGGCCGCATGTGGAGCCATGTCCACGTTCTCAGCAGGTTCCTCTAGCCTAAGCTGGCCCTGCCCACTTACCGGAGAAAGAGAACGGATTTCCGTGGCCACCGTCTGTGGGCCTGGGATCGTAGCAGCTGCCCCCTTCCCGGACTTGAGATTGTTCTCCTGGGGAAACAATAGTGCTCGAATCTCAGGTGGGCAAGCCCAGAGGATGGCCTGGGTAGGTGGCCATGCGGCTCTTACGGTCACACAGTTGAGACTTGAGTCGTAGCATAAGAAGCATTGTCTGAAGGCACGATTCTGCTCAGTCTCCTCTTATTCAGTCACTTACTTGCTTATTCATACATGCTTATTCACGTGAACACATTCATTCATCCATCCATTCATTCATTCATTCAGCAAACACTGAGTGCCTGGTGTTGGGGACAGTGTTGGGGACACTGTAGTGAACAAGACACTGACGAAGGAGTTGAGACATTTGGGCTCTCATCCTGGTTCTGCCATATTCTAGCCATAGGAATTGAGGCAGAGCCATTTCCTCTCTAAGGGCCTCATGAGTCTGGAATCCTTATGAGGTTAATGTAGGAAAAACAAATTTTCCAAATTTAATTTTGTAAACCAAAATCAGCAAAACAAATTGACTCGTATAGGTGGGCTATTAATAACCTAATGTTGTTGTTGTGTACCATCAAGTCTAAACTGACCATATCTGATTCCCCCAGAAGGTTTTTAGGGGCAGAAAATGGGATGGGAGATTACATCTTTCTCCCTTGCAGCAACCAGTAGATTTGAACCATGTACCTTTATGGCAGCACAATTCCTTACCACTAAGCCACCAGAGGTCTCTAAAAGCCCCAAAATTGCTGTTTTCTCAGTAATTGCTATGTGTTGGGCACATCATGCTAAAGATGTGATATTAAAAAAAAAAAAAGGTGATATTCCTGGAATTCCCTATGGACTTACTGCTCCACCTCTTGCAAGGGGTCTGGCTGCCTGCTTCTCACTTTCACTTTCTCTCCCATCAGGCTCATCCTTGTCTGTCCAGGCACCTTGTGTCTGTCCCGCAGCTCCTCTGAAGGCTGATCCCTGGTCCTAGCACATGCATGGTGTAGATCTGCATCTCTGCCTGCTCAGAGGCCAGTGGGCACAGATACTCCGTGCTCTGCCCTCACCTATCCCCAGACATGAGTTTCCATTTCAAGGCTGTCAATGAACTGACTGTGACACCTTCTCTGACAGAGGCCCAGAATGTGGCCTAGCAGAATGCCCGAGGTCTGCCTTCCAAGCTCAATGCTTCCTTGCTCCAGCCTTAGGAAACAGTTGTAGGACCCTTTGAATTCCACCATCACTCTGGGCCATTTTAAAGCCTCTTAACATTCTCTTGGATCACTTTTCCCCAGGACAAAGTCTCATCTCTACCTTCACGCTAAAAACAGAGGCCTGTTCTAATAGGGAACAGACCATTCAAACCAAGACCGCATCTGCTCTTCTGTACCCCTTCTGAGTCTCCAGCCAGCTCTCTCTTCCAGTCAAAGCAAACCTACCATCTCCTTCTGGATCCTTTCTCCTTCATTCCCAGGCTGTCTCCCTTGCTACCCTCTCTTTGGATCACCTTAATCCCCTCAAGAGCTTCAAAGATTTCATAAAGGTCAATATCCTCTATCTCTATCTGTGGCCTAGAACATTCTTGAACCTCAGGCTTTTAAAATCAATTGTCCCATAGACACTGTTGTTGTTAGAAGTCATAACTAACTCATAGCTGACCCTCCGGTGGGTTTTCTGAGGTTTTAAACTGCATGAGAGAAGATTTCTCATCTTTCTCTTGAGGGACAACTGGTATATTTGTACTGCTTGCCTTCTGGTTGGCAGCACAAATCTTTATTCACTGGTCCACCAGAGCTCTCTACCTTATAGACATTATTCCCTGGAATTTTCTGCCTCTTCCCACCTCTGATACAACTCTGCTCTCAATGCTTTGTTGAGATCAAGGGCTCTTAAATATGAGGGGGCAGCATCTTGAGAGCTCGTGAAAACACAGCTTCCAGGCCCCTCTCCAGAGTTGGGTTCAATCAGTCTGGGAAGCAGCCTGAGAAGGTGGATTTCGAATAGATTACCAGGACCACACTTTGAGGACCACTGGACCAATAACCAACCACTGGGCTTCGTCAGTGAGTTGCTAGCCTACTTCCTTTTGTCTATCAATGATTGTACACTGTCTTTTCCTCCCTCCAATCATTCCTTACCTCTGTCTCCCTCTCTGCAGCCACCCCCTCACACTTGGGCCCTGACCAAGCCAGGCATGAGCTTCTAAACTAATTCCCTGCCTCCTTTTTCTGTGTTTCTCTTTGGCATGTGGGCCTTGGAACTCAGGAACTCTTCTTCAGTGATGAATTCATAGTGCCTGGCACAGTACTTCACACATCGTGGGTGTTTGATAAATATTTGTGGAAGGAAGAAAAGAAGGAGGGAGAGAGGGAGGAAGAGAATTTGTGTTCTAGTCCATCTGCTCCACATGGCTGCTAGAGTAATCGCTCTAAAACACAGAAACACAGGTGATCATCAATGCCAGGCCCCTATGTAAACTTTTCCAGTGATTCTCCACCATCTCCATGATAGTCTGAACTTCTTACATGACATTTCAGGCTCTTCAACCCTGGCCCAGTCTTCCTTTCCACCTTCTTCTCCACCAGCTGCTCCTGCACACATCTGACATCTGATTCACTGAGCAACCACGAGCCTTTCCTTGAACACACTCTGCTTCCTGCCATCTTTACCACTGCATTTATTATTCCCACTGTCTTCTCCTAAGCTTGTACCTGAGTCTATCGTTCAAGCATAGTTTAAAGGCCACTGCCTAAAGAAAGCTTCCCAAGCTCTCTCCTCCAAGCCTATCCTCCCTGTGCACCCTAGGATAGACTTGTTATATGAAGTTCCTTCCATGAAACCAGGAGAAACGTAATAGTAGCTCGTGCTTGACAAAATGTAAGCAGGTGCCAGGCATTGGGCTAAGAGCTTGGCACAGATTATCTGAGTCAACACTCCTATCAGCCCTTTGAGGTATGTGCTAGAATCACTTTCCTCACTCTTGTTTTACAGAAGTGAAAACTAAGATTTAGAGAGGTCCAGGTAATTCACCCCAGGTCATCCAGCCAGGAAGTAGAAGAGCTGGGCCTTGTTCACCACTGTGTGCTCAGGATCTACTGCATGAAATGTGCAGCACATTAAGGGTGCTTGTGATTATTTTGTGAATGAGTAGATTCTAACACGTAGTCTATTTCTTTTAACCTTGTAACCCCACACCAGGCAGATAGGAGAGAGGCAACTATATGTTTTTGGAACAAATGAATGGACGATGGATAGATGAGCAAATGAATGACATGGCTGCTTGCTCACTGTAAGAATGAATAGAAATTTTGCCCTATTAAATATCCTGGTGACATAGTGAAGGGAGAGGCAATACTGAATGACTCAGGGAAAGTGGGTAAGCTGGCACTGGGTTTGAATTTAAGTGTTTTATGATATTTATGTCTTCGGAACCTATTTTTTTATGTAGTCTAAACTGATAACACTCTTCTTTCATGTATCTATCAGGGGTTTGGTAGGCCAAAGCAAACACCTGAAAACAATTTCCAACAGCTCAGGTACTTCTCCTCCAGCCTTAGCTCCTCCAGCTCCACCTGGCTGACACTCACAGGGTCAGGACAAGGGAGTGAGGCAAAAAATCCTGTAGACGCTGGGGTGGGGGTTCAGGAGTCGCGTTGCCTAGGTTTGATGTATCTCTACTTTTTGTCTCCTCTGAATCTCAGTTTCCTCATCTGTAATAGGTAGAGAAAAAGAGCAACCACCTGATAGTTGAGACTCAATCCTCATAGTGAGGCCTCAATGAAACTACCTGTTCACAGTTCTCAGCACACAGCCTGGTACCACGGCCTGGTTGGTCGAACACTATTCTGTTTCATCATTAGATGATCTTATCTCACTCAAACTCTCATAGCTATCAAGTCTGAACAACTTATATCCTCCAGCGAGTTTTCAGAGGCTGTAAATTGCAAAGGAAGAGACTGTTTATTTTATAGTTTCCTCCAGAGCAGCTTATGTCTTATTCTCATTTTACAGATGAGGAATCCAGAGGCCAAAACCAGGAAAAAAACTCTTCCTTTTATAGGTCAGACAGTAAACAGGTTCCAGAACCACAAAGCTCCTAAGGAAAGAATTGGTTCAAAATCCTGAAATTTCCAACTTTGGTTCACTGATCGCCATCTACTGACCAAGATGAGGAATTGTCTTGAGACAAATAAAATGCACAGCACCAGTGGGGTGGGTTCTCAAGAAGGGGCTCAGGCCTCTCTTTCAGTCACATGGCAAAATTCACCAGCACACTCCTCATTGTTACTGCTAATTAAATAATAATCAAATAAACCCTCCTCTTCTATGATTGAGCTGATTCAGATAATAGATACTCAGGGATTCTATTACCCACATGATTTGATTTGGAAAACAGTTCCATTTTCTATGGAAAACAATTTACCATACAGTAAAAATTTGACTGCAGATCCTAGGCCAGGTGCATGAGGGGCAAATGACGAGTCCCTGAAGCTCTGTGCAACATTATCTGGCAGTGTTGGAGGGAGAAAGGGCATGTTAGAGAGACAAACCTCCTGGGTCTTACTTACCATGGTGGTTGATATGGTCTCTGTGGTGATGGAGGGGGTAGTTGTTATGAACTCCTTTCCTAATGGGACATTCCCATCAACCTGCAGACCAGAGGAGGAGTCATTAGAGTTGAGGGGAGACAGGTCCCTAGAATAGGCATCTGTCACTTTGGCTCCTGGCATTCGGGACTGATAGGGAGGCTAACACTAGAGGGCCTCAGAGCTCCATCAGTTCTTTCCAAGTATGTTATCTGACAATGGAAATATCATGCCGGACAATTTGCAAATTCTATTCAAATTTAAAGGAGCTTTCCAGAGACTGTGAGAATGGTGCAGGGTAGAGTTATAGTTGATTCAATAACACCTAACAAAAAAATAACCAACAAAAGTCTCAGCTTTGAAAGCCCTTATGGAGCTGTTCTCTCCACACTTGTGGGGATGGAATACACTCAATGGCAATAACAACCCTTTCACATAGCATTGTCATTGCTAGGAATTTACTTTCGGGATACAAATTGGGCATCAGCCACCACAAAGTACGAACAAGGATGTGCACTGCAGACTGATCATTAGCTGTAAAACCTCCAAAATCCACCAGAAGGTCCATCAGTGGGAGGTGGACTAAAGACATTAACTCTCATCTCTTAAGTGAAATTACAAAGAAGAAGGAAGGCCTATCTCAATAATGGAGTTCTGGTGGGTTAGTGGTAAGGAATTGCACTGCCAACCCAAAGGTACATGGTTCGAATCCACCAGCTGCTCTGCGGGAAAAAGATGGGTTGTCACCTCTCATGTGATTTACCCTCCCCTGAAAATCTGCTGGAGGGTTAGTTATGGGTCTGTTCTGAACAACAATAACAGGTAGAAGGAGTAGCAATCTGCTTCTGAAAATACCAGAGCCTTGGAATCCCATGGAGCAGTTCTACTCTGTCCTACAGGGTCAGCATAAGTTGGAATTGATTTCATGGCAATGGATCTGGTCACCAATAGGAATTATCTCCAAGATAAGGGGGTAGAGGAGCAAAGTATGGTAAAATCTGATCTCTTTTGTATGAATTGTAAATATATCGAGATGCAGGTACATATATGTTGATACTGGGAGAAATCATAAAAAAATATTTTCATTCTGTCCTATTCCAATTTCTTAACTATGAATATTTTTGTTTGTGTTGTTTTGATGTCAGAAAGGGATCCTGGACTGTGCTGTCAAGCTTGAACTAACTCATAGCTGATCCTCCAGCGGGTTTTCAGAGACAATAGATAACACAGGAGGAGAATGCCCATCTTTCTCCAGGGGATTTAAACAGCCTGACTTTGGGTTGGCAGTAAAATTCCTTATCATTAAGTCATGAGAGGTCCCTAGAGCCATATTTTCATTTTCTTCTTACATTTCTTTGTATGAATAAGCAAAACAAATTCCAACATAAGCACCTAAAACAGAACAGGCCAGAAAGGGGAAGCAGCTTGCAAATGGTCACATACAGCCCATCAGGGCTCAAGAGTCTTGACTAGACAGGCTCATAAAGCCCCCACCCCCCATGAATATTAGAAAAGTGGCAGAAAAGAAAATTTAAAAAAAGTTTCTATGTTGTGGTTGTTTATTTTTTTACTTCAGTTTTTGAGACAAAGACTGGGCTCCAGGATAAGAAAGTACTCAGCCTTGGAGCTGTTCTGGTCAAGTAAAACCAAGAAGGTTTCTATTAATCTTACAATCTCAATTTTCAAAGTTTAATTACACGAGAAATATGCTTTAAGAATTGCACCTGTGTCATCTCCACAATGCTAAGTATACTGCAACTAAAATAAACGGTATCTGGTTTTCAGCTTGTTTATTCTGCCAATCTGATGTGGGACCTCTGAGCCCAGGTGAGTTGTTCTGACTAAAGCTGGATTGGGGATCACTCCCTCTTCTCAGTCAAGGAAACCCTTGGGATACCAAGAAATCTTTCTAGCTCCTATAAGTAACCTGAAACTTGTTATCCTGATCCACCAGACCCTCACAACACCCCAAGGAAAAAATGGAGAGATGGATCATCTCCTTTCATAGATAGGGAAATTAAGACTTTGAAGATAATTAAAAGGTTGTAGACTGCCAAGGACAAGACCTTATGTCCTTGGGAAGACAGTGGGGGTTCAGAATGTGGACTCAATGGGGAGCTAACATGGATTTGGCCACAAAAGTGGAATCTCACCCTTGAACACTCAGACTTATTTGGGAGGGTACATGGGAAGGCACAGGTTACCTGGCTGGTGTCCACAGCAGTCACTCTGGTCTGCAACACAGACTCTGGCTCAATTTTCTTCCTAATTGCCAGGCTGCTAACAGTCATAGTTTCTGTTTTCACTGGCTGTGGGGATATAAGGGAGATCATTCCATAACTCAAGTTTGGCATGACTTCTTCTTATAGGCAGTTGTTGTGTACGTAGAGACAACACGTTATCTCCCACCAGCACAGCCGGCACTGTCTCCAGAAGCATACATGAGTCAGGACAAAAGTGGCATGGTGAGTGTGATGTCACAGACAGACAACCCATGACCAGAACCATGGCCAGCACTGAGACAGCCCTGGTCCGTGACCCTACAGCACAAAATCTCATGTTGGTTATGAGCTGGGGATTTCCGGCAACCATAAAAAGAACATTTACAATGTTCATTTAGCATACTCTGTGTCAGAGTCACACACACAAAACACTGAATCCTGAATTACTTCAATGGCTAAGCCATTACCTCCCTTCCCATTACTTAATTAAGTAAAACTGTTCTTTCGAGTAGGAGCTACACAATTGGAGGGTTTTAGAGGCTTGGCAGGAGACAGAGTGAAGGAGTCACGTGGACTTGTTGAGGATCTGGGTGAACTAAGAGCTGTCTGATTCCGCTCAAACTGGATCAACTTCTGACACTCAGGAATGCAGGATCTAAGTGGCCAGAGAGCGATCTGGACTTTGACTCGAACTTTACACTCTCAAGAATTATCTAAAAGAGAGAAAATTGGCAAGAGTAACTAGAAATATTAGGTTGGAGTTTATGTTAATGGGAGAGGAACAACCCAGAAATGGAGGGTAAAAACAGTGGCAGAGCTTCAGGGTGATCAATGCCACTGAACAGTGCATGTAGAACTGCTGAGCTGGTGTATGTTTTGCTATGTGTAACCTCAACAACAATCACACATACAATTTTTAATGTAAATAAAGAAAACAAAAGAAAATCTGTGTTTTCTCTTCAATGCCCTAATTTGAAAATCAGGTTCAGAAGAAACATATCCACTTCCTAGATCTGGCCCAGGGCTACCTGTTGACAATCTAGAAGTCTTAAGGAAAACAGTTTCTTTTTAGGCCTCATCAGGCATAGGCCATGGCTTTTAACATATCTGAGTTGAATAAATGAGTAAAATCCTAGCTAGTCATCTACTCATGGGGAAGAAGGGGAGGGGGATTCATACAGATATTGTTCATTCTAAAATCTGTTTTTTCAACGAGTTGAATTCTTCAATGAGTTGAAGTGCCTGTGATGTTCCTGGCCTCCCACCAGCTTAGAGAAGCTTCCACCTGGTAGGCAAACATATCTGTCAGCCAATAGTTGAATACTTTGGATATCAGTCCAGAAATTATACTGGGGGTGAGTGGGCTGGGAGGGGGTGTGTATGTATATAAAGGGAGAAAAAATTCCACCCAGTGTGGTGAGAAAATCTATGCTGTGGGAATGACATCTGAAGCTCAAAAATGACATCTGTCCTCAAAAATAACGTGTGCAAGGCAGAAAAAGGAAGAACAAAAGAATAGTAGCATCCTGGAGAGTGAGAGGGCTGCAGATTGCATGGACACCAAAACAACTACCTAGAAAACTTTGTTTCAAAACAAAAACAAAACCCTTTGTTTCAGCATAAATGGATTCTATTTTATTAAAAGATCCTAGCAGCTGTAACAACAAAATAATTTCTTGTAATCCTTGCCTACATGTGTCAATACCTACCAGGCTAACACTATGCTATTCTACTTTTTGAGCTTTCTACTGCAGGCCAGTCAGAGCTGTCACTTATTATCCCAATCATAATGATGCTGCAAATCACGTGGTTTCATTGAATGTGCTACAATCTCAACTGTTGTTTGTGTGTTGTCCTTGTGTTGACAATGATTTTATCATGTTTTCTGTTGTTCCAGCTATAATGCTGTGATAGTATTTGTGAACCGGTATCAATAAACACTTAAAAAAGTGAAGGAGTAATTAATGGAAAAGAACAATTTTATCAAGTCTTCCTCTCAGTTACTAATAATATAATTCAATGTAGAAAGATTCTATGGAATAATTTTGTAGGTATTTACATGATCTAAAAAAATCTTATATTTAAGAAATTTACAACCATAGTTATTACATATTATTCTATGATTACAACTGATAATAAACTTTACTAGATATTCTATATGGTCTAGTATGGGAGGTTGTTGTCATGTGCCATTAAGTTAGAAATGACCCATAGCTGACCCTCCAGTGGGTTTTCAGAGACTATATTTCACACGGGAGCAAACTGTTCCGCTTTCTCCCAGGAAGCAGCTAGTGAATTTGAACTGCATGCCTTTGGGTTATGAGAGCAACTCTTTACCCACTAGGCCACCACAGCTCCTTGGTATAGAGGAAATCAATTAGTTACCACAGTGGGTGACACCAACCCTAGTGATGCCATTGGAAAAGGCCTTATCCCCAGAAGGCACAGATTTCAGTGTTGGAAAATGGAGCAAAGAAGAATGTGGTGGGCAGCAGGTTGGGGGCAGAAAGCAATGAGTAAGCAAAGGAAGAACTCGAAGAGAGACTTGGTTTAGAAAGATCCCATTACAGCTCTGCAAAGGAAGGACATAAAGCAGACACTAGTCTATCTTAAGCACCCTCAGTGAGATATTTCTTTTCTAGTAGCTTCCACTACCACCCAAAGACCCCAGGTCCAGATAGATTAAAAGTGCTACTCCTTCCCCAGGAAGCCCAAGTCATGGGGAAAGGAGGCTGGACCTGGATCAGGAAAAATCATCCAGGTGGAGTCACAGAGACTCAGCTAGTCTACAGACACATGCTCTCTGTGGGTGCCATGCAACACAAGCGGGGAGAGGAGGAGGAGTTGAGTAAGACCAGCAGCCTGCCTCCCACCCTTCCCACCCTGTCACTGCTTGACCCCCGGCAGGTGATGGGATCCAAGGGTTAAACCGTCTAGGAGTGTGTGTTATGGTTAAACTGACATGGCAAACATGCGAGCACAGAACCATGCTGTTCTGCTGTGGGGCAGTCATGCAACGGGAGACGAGGCTTCAGGATGCAGGCCTCTGGCTGGTTGTTCAGTCTTCTCACAGGGCCCTCTGAACATGCAGTGCCAGGAGGAGGCATGTGGGTGGGCCTGGGTCTTGATGCTCCACTGTACCTCAAACTGGGGCAGGTCCGGGGTGGAGCAGGCCCCTCGATCTGGGCTGTCCTCGATTTCCCCAGACTCATCATCCTGGCTGGGAGCCCCTTTGCTGAGGTCCCGGGAGAACACCAGGCCCTCGGTCTCAGAATCACTTTTGTCTCGGTCAAGCTCAGGCAGGCTGCGAGAGAAGTCTTCAAAGGCGCTGCCGTGGTAGTCGCCAATGACTGTGAAGTCCACCTCGGCCTCCAGGCTGGACGTGGAGCTGACTGTGATGCTGGAACACTTGCGCTCAATGGCCAGGTGGTTGTCCTTCAGGAACACCGCATCCCTCTCTTGATCCTGGTCCTCGTCTCCTGTGTCGCTCTCTGGGGCCCTGGGACGTGGTGGTTTGACTTTCTCCTCCGAGCCCTCCCTCAGCCCTGCTCTCTATGACCAGACAAAAGCAAAGGAATGGGGATGTGGGGGGTGGGGAGGGGAGAGAGAGAGAGAGATCAAGATGGTGAATGTCAGAGGAAATCTTGTGGTCATGTCAAATGGAAGAGCGGGGCAGGAAAAGAAAATGCCCCCAGGACAGGTTCCTTACAGTTTTAACAAACTCATAACACTATGACTTTTCATGAGTGAGATGCTCCTTTCCAAGGGTCCTGCCCATCCAGGCACTGATGGCAAAAGCAAGTACAAAGCATAACATCCTGCCAGTTGACCCTGGACAGGAGACTCCATCCAAGGATTGGCTCTAGGAGCATTTCAAAAGCAGCACTGTAGGAAAAGCAGGGATGGCAGCCTGGCCTCCAGGCCCATCCGTGCAGTTGGCACTGAGACACAGAAAGTAAGGAGAGAGACCCAGGAATCCAGGAAAACCCAGGATGGGAGATGGCTAGGGCCAAGAGCTTTGAGGGGCTACAAGGAAGCTTGTATGGCTTGTCAATTCCACTGAGTCTCTGTGGGAGAGGTGAGCATCATTTAGAGGCGGGAACTTTATGGGGTGGGAACTTCGGGAATAAACTGCAGGAATAGGTGCTCCACCAATTCAACCTTGAACTCCACAATCGGGCCTCACAGTGGAGATTCTAGTTCCATCAGTGTAATTGACAATAGCAGGGCAAGGAAATGCCTAAGGGGAATTGGCAACTCTTGTCTGACATACATACCTCTCAACTGGCCTGTCAGGGATTAAACATCACACACACATTTCTTACTGGTTCATGACATGCTTATTTAAAATCAAGGTTAACACCCACAAAATACTTTAAAAGGACCTGGCTTCAGGTCCTGGAGAGTCAGTATGCTTAGAGGTTCTCTTGTGAGGGCTACAGTGACCTGAGCGGGCCTCCATTTAGCCAGTTTCTGGAAGGTTGCGAGGTGTGAGGAATGCATTCCAGACAAGCCAGGATTGAGCAGTCACAAAGGCACTATCAGAGGCAGGCGGGAATCTAACGCAACTACGAGTCCTTGCAGGTGAAGGTGGCTGGGTCACCAGAATGGAGAGGAACTGCAGAGACCTGAGGGCCCGAGGGGCTGGCGAATCTCAGGCGCCCTCCCTTCCCAGGGGCGTCCACTGCTAAGCTGGTGACGTGCTTCTCTTCCCTGACTGCATCTCCGGATTTGTTCTGGATTAGAGAAGATGGTTAGTCTTAAGGAAGCAGAAAGAAACTCGGCATTGGGACCAAGAGGGAACCAGAAGCGAAGGGCAGAAACTTCTGGATTGTCAGCTTTCCCAAGGCAGGATAACGAGGGTGGGGAAAGGATGAAGGAAGATCGCTCGATTAGCCAAGCAAGACAGGTAGGAATCTAGCAGGTGGCGGCAGCAAGGCAAAGCGAGTGTGTAGTTGGCTGGCAGTGCTGCTAGCTTCTCCACAGAAGTTATGTGGACCCTCCGGGTACCAGGTCACACCAGAAGCTGGGGTCTTTTGGGACAAGCTAACATGAGTCAAGCAGGTGAACCTGTCATTCAGCCTGCCTACACTCAGGCCGGTCTCAGGAAGAGAACTCAGGGATGAGCAAGCACTTTTGATTGCAGTAATGACAAGGGGCCACCTACACATGCTTCTAAAGAGCTATGCAGCATGCGGTCAGCTCCCCCAAGTGGGGGCAGCAGTGGGGACAGGGGTCATGTGACCAGTTACCCCAGGAGCTTTCTCCAGCGTGGTTTCACAGACTGAATCAGGGGACAAGAGTTTCATGAGTCCTTCCTGGTGTGATGTGGCAGACATGCCATCCCCAAAGTGTCTGGTAGCCAAAGGCATCATTGAAGAATGTGTGGCTTTCGGGTTGGCAAAATCTCCTTGAGGTGGAAGCTGGATGAAGCCCAGGTCTGCAAGCTTTTTCTCCTGTTGCTCTGCCTGGCCCAGAGAGGCCTCTGGAGACAACTCATTCAGAAGGTTCCTCGTTTCACACGGATTTGCTCTGTGCACTTCCATTCTATGGGTCTCGAATATCCTGATTTTATTGGCCACTGAGGTCTTGCTGATATCTTCCAGGGAGGCTTCTTGGCCCCCAGCTTGGAAAGAGGTCACGTTCTTTTGCTTTCCTGAGGGCATAGCCCCCTCACCTTCTTCAGAGATCCTTTTTGGCTTTCTGCTGGCAATGGGAGGTGCCCAGTGCTCACCTCCAACAGGATTCACAACCAACCGTACTTGGTCCTTGGAATCAATGATCTGACTCGGAGGGTAGGCATGCTTGAGAAATACAGGAGGCTCTTCTCCAAAGGGACCCCTAATCTCTGAAGGCTCCACTGACCTAGGATGGGCTGGGTTTTGAAAAGCTTCTTCTGGGGCTGCCAGAGCCTCACGCTGATCTGGAGAGGCTGGAATGGGGGCAATCACCTCCATTTGAAGGAATGCTGAGGCCTCGTTGTCCTCCACCTCTTGTCCTCCTGTTTGGGTGTGAAATGGTCTCCACTCTCTGTCTAGTTCATCTGGTTCACTTACATCATGAGGAGAGATGGTCCAAGGAAGGCCACAAGCCTTCGGGTTTGGGTGGACACCACCCCCCTTGTAAGGTAAGTGGTTCTTCAGTCTCCCTGGAGAACTTTTCTCAGTCTTTCCCATGGAATATCCATTCACAGGGGCCTCAGACTCTTTAGACACACTGACTCTTGAATGGGTCGATTCTCCTTCCAGGCTCTGCTGGACTTCTTCCCAGTTTTCAGCAAATGTCTGCTCTGGAGAAGGGCCATTATCAAGCTGCTTGACAAAGGCCGTAAGGTCACCTGGTCTTTCATGGTTCCTGGGAGGCCATGCTCCTTCTTCTGAAGAAGCTGTGTGGGCTTCAGCCTCATTCCTGCCTGGAGCTGTAGCAGAGCATGGTAGGTTTGAGGCATTCACCACAGAGCAGTCTGGGAGCTCCTCCAAGAGCCCCAGCCTACTCTCATCATCTCTAGTAGCATCCGGGTACTTTTCTTTCTCCTCCAGAGGAGGTGGGAGGATATGGTCTTCAGGGTCTTTCTCTCCGTAGTTTAAATAGAAGCTTCTTTCTGCAAATGAGGTATCGGTTTCATCACTCGAGTCAGCTCTGGCTTCTGCATGGGCTGGGTCCAGTAGAAATGACTGGAGTCCTCCCTGGTCAGAGACCGGGGACAGGAGGTCCACCTCTGCTGGTCTGGTCCCTGAGCCAATGGTTCTCCCCCAAGTCTGAAACTCCTCCAGCTCCTTCCTCAGTTCCATGTGACTTTCCTGCTGACCAGCTGGGATGTGGTGGCTCCTGACAGTCGCGTCCCCAGTGTCTATGAGCTGGGGGCCCTCTAAATTTTCTACCAGTGTGCAGTCTGCAGTCAGGGGAGCTTTTCCTGAGCCTTCCCTGGCCCAGAGACCTTCCTCCCACATGGATTCAAAATCTTCAGGACTTGCGATCATCCTCCGCTGCTGTTGGGTGTTCATTCTTCCCGTTTCCACCATTTCTTCAGTGGCCACTTCAACTTTAAACTTGTCCACAAGAACATCCACCTTGGAGAGTCTGCCATCAGCAAGGATATCTGCTCTGCTTTCCTGCTGCTGTGTGGTGATCACTTTTAGGAGGTTGAGTTCTTCTGGGATAGTGTACTTCCTTTCTATAAATACCCAATGCTCTGAACCCTGCATTTCAATTGGAGCAAGAAGAGTTAGCATGAAATTACCAAAGCATTCAAAGAATGGGTCACTTTTTCCCTTTGTAAAAATGGGCAGATCTACAACTGAACAGTGTCTCTGGGATGGCATATCCCCAGAGGGGAGGGAAGGAAGGCAAAACAATGCTAGTCATCTTCACTAAGGCTCCTTTTCCCATCAAGGCACTTTATGAATTACTTCATGACTCTTCACTTTCCTTGGCTTATCAGGTCTTATGCCTTCCCCACATTAACCAGGATGAAATAGAGATCCATGGTTAGGTCAGAACCAGCCTAATCATCACGTATTTCTCTACTATAGAATTGCCGGTGTTGGAAGGGGAAGTAGCTTATGCCACTTGGAACCTTTGAATGTTAGAGCTGAAAGAACTCTTATGGCACCATTCTACTCAATCTCACTGTGAGAATGGAGAAACTGAGGCCTAGAAAAGGTCAATCACTTGCTAAAGGTCACAGGTACAGTCAGAATGTTCAATTTTTGATGCCTGAGATCTTTGATGATTTACCTCATAACCACAATGATTTTAATGTCAAGCCAAGAAAAAGCATTAAGTTTCATAAGCCTGAAAGCTGATCTTTACACAAGAACTACTGGGAAGGAAGCAGATTAGCACTAAAGACAGAAGCTAGTAGCTCTGGAGGTTTTGTCAGTTGCTACAATGGCTTAAACTACTTGAAACTGTGATGTTCCATCTGAAAGAAACAATACCAAAGCCCATCCTTGGGGAATTCTGATAAAATCCACAGGAGTAGAAAAAGACTAGCCAGAATACATCATGGAAGCAGAAAGCAGTAAGTTAAATATACCAGTGTACAGCACTGTCGAACCATAACTGTCTGGTGGCCTAGTGGAAAGAAGTTGCACTGCAATACCAGAGGTATGTGGTTCAAATCCACCAGATGCTCTGCTGAAGAAGAAGAAGGGGCAATCTCTTCTGTACCAGTCAGATCTGATATGACGGTACACACACAAAAAATAATGTAAAAAAAGCAAAACAAAAACCATAACTGTCCTCCTCCCCACCTGAAGAGTCTTTTGACAGAGCTTAGGAGGGAATGTATGGACCTCTAGAATATTAAAAGAGCGGGATGTCCATTGAGTCTTTAATCTTCTAGCCACAAGCACTTTCTTCAACAAGAATAATATCCAATACACAGTACAAATACAGAGCTCTCTTACTGAAATGAGGGCCCTGGTCACTGGTACCCTGAGATATCTCTTTCTCCCTTGAAGTCACTATTCTGAGTTAAGCCCTCATGACGTATATGTGGAAACTGAGGTCTAGAGAAGTTGACTGAGTACCTTGCCTATGGTAACAGA